TGAGTTACCGGAAACTCACCTTGAAAGAACACAACTGTTTATGGTATGTTTGTGGATACTCATTAATACGAAAATTCTTACACCACCACTTCTGCGAAGTTTGTTGTGAACTTTGCACATTCTTACGAAGTGGTACATCCTGTTTTAATTGTGTGACATTTCAAAGTCTTCAATGAAGATGTGATTTTTAGCAATTTAATGATACCACCTAGACATTTTGCAGTTTATACTCCGATGGGTAATACATTTTGTGAGTTTTTCCCAATTTATGCACCGTAGTCGTTAACTGGTTTGCGGCTAAAAAACGAACCATACAAAAATACCATTCCACCACCCCTGCAAAGACTTTCCTCTTGATTACCTCGTTTCAGTTTTTATTAGTTAGAATTTTTTACACACTAAAATTTAAAAATAAATCTTGGACCGCTCAAACACGCACACATCGAAAATTAAACTATTTCGTTTAACCTGCAGTTTGTTGACTTCTTTAGCCTGGAATTTTCTAGTATTTTTTACATGTATCGTAAGTATCTATTACTTTGTTAAAATAAATTTTACGTTTGTTTTTAACCCTATAACCCAACATCCCGTATGATTCCGTAATTAATATGACATTTCTTGTTGACAAAACCAGACAAAACGTTCACCGAAAACCTTAAAATGAAAAAGAAACTATGTTCTTCAAGGTCGGAGCACCTTTAGTGACGCTAGTGACCTCTTTATGTCGTTCCGTAAGCTCCCCATGTATTTCTTATGGAATCAGCTGAGACTTTCATAGCCCTGATACTGTGGTCATATCATTGTTGTCAAATGTCAAAGATACGTCAAACGTACCATTACTAGCGTAAACAATCTACATATAGTATATAAAAATCAATTGCTGTTCGTTAGTCTCGCTAAAACTCGAGAACGGCTGAACGGATTTATCTTATCTTGGTTTTGAAATGTCCGTGGAGGTCTAGGGTAGGTTTAAAAGGTGAGAAAAATTCGAATAATTGCCGGTAAAACCCTAAAAACAGCACTTTTCTTCTTAACAACCAAGTGACAATCTTTTATTTCTAAAAAGACAGAAGACATCAAATGTTTCACAGTTCAGAACATGTTGTATTGGAAAATAGAATTTCTGTTTTTAGTATTTTTGTTTCTCACCGTTTAAACCTTCTCTGAATTTCCATAAATATTTCAAGACCAAACTCTCAGCTAAAAGATAAAAAAAATTCTAAAAATTTTGCATGGGAATCGCCACTTCGAATTAATTTGAATAGTTGGCGTTCCTGATGGACCTGTCGTCTAACTGACGTGTCATACAAAACTAATTCTTCCGTGCGATTGTGAAAAGTATATTGCATTTCAAGTCGTTCTTTGTTTTTTCGTAAAAAAAAACGTCGTTTATTTTAAGAAAAGTCTTGGTTAAAGTGAATTTAGTTACACATTGCGAAAGTGTCTTATTAATTTTGATCTGCCATTCTATTTACCTATAGTCACTTTGTTGGTTTCGACAAAACCTCAAACTTTACCGTTATTCGAGGATTTAATTTGAAGTTTTCAATATTTTAAAATTCTCAAGACAAAATTTACAGATTTGATTGACTGTGAAAATAATTCTGTGTCGTTTTATGAAGTTCATTACAATGCCGAGAAGACGACAAGTTGACATAGGTCCACGAAGTCAATCCGCAATGAATTATTTCATGGGTAATTCGGATATGGAAGTTGATCAGCGCTGTGCTCATAATCAACATAATCAAACATTGAAGCGAGACATTGGGTGGTATGAATAAAAGTGAATAGATACTCATATTCGAAGTACGAAGTACCTACTTCATTATTACTCTTATATACCTGAGCATCTACTCTATGTACTGAGTACCTACTTGAAAACATTGCATCTCCCCGGACACAAATTGAACATCTATCTATGCGTTTTGTGAGCATTTAATCTAAAAATGAGCATCGGCGTGGCAAATGACTGAGCTGTCTGTAAAGCAGCTTAGAAAACGAGTAGGATCGTTGTAAGAGTGAATTTTGATTAAACATCAATGATCTAATAACTAATGGATGGAATGTTGAGGCGCGTAATCCCGCTCGCATGCGGTGACAACTAGAGAGAGAAATAAACATATCTACAGTCAGTGTTGTTAGACAAGGCCAACACGTATCGGTAGGCAAGAACGAGCTTCGGTGCCGTTGAGTTAAATAGGAGATCATGTAAAAATGGTTTTAAAATTCTTTGTTGTCGTTTTTTTTTTTATTTTGTAGGACACTGTATATACATACAATACAAAATGAATATAAACACACAATTTATTGAACAAAATTAATTTTGTGTATACCTGTCTGATTTTATTAGGAACTTGATTATTTCTGCTGTTTTCATAATTCAGTCTAATAATAAAAAAATACGTAAAATTACATAGACCAACTCGACTACATGATTGTTAAGTGGATCTTGATCCAAAATGTGGTCATTTAAGACATTAAACATATTTCTGAAATTTAGTAATCTAATGGTTTTAATTGTAACAATATTAATAACATTCGCTGAAATATTATATTTCATAGTTCTGAAAGTGGTTTCAGCTATCTTACAAACTTTGATGACATCAACTGATGGCTTTGTAAGTCCACCTCTCTTTTTTTTAATTTAGCAGTGCCGAAAGAGTCTCATTGGGTCTCATTGTTAGTCAGTTTTCTAGGCCTTGTTTCATTTTTTTTGTTTTGAAAAATTGAAAATGAATGGTACTGCATCCTTTTTTAAAATTCTCAGTTGTTGTGTGGGATTAACAGAATTTGTTAACTGCTGAAAATTCTCATTTTTAAAATGTTTGCTACACACTCTTGACGCAGACGTCCGAACAAATTTATCTCGTTTAAGTGCAACAATCCATTGCTTTCTTAGCAACAGATTTGTCGGAAAACTGAAATTAAATTAAATAAAGATTGTATGAAAAAATTATTCAGCAGATATCTCACCGATGAAATGAAATATTACAGCCTTTGTGATGCCGCTCCTCGCATCCAAATGCACAACAAGATATAACCATCGTGAATATGATTGTTATTATTGCGATTGTAAGAAAACAAGCACTTTAGAACTGCACAGAAATGCCACACACACCAGGAAGTGAGTAATTAAAAGTAAATTTTAACTGGAAGTTGCTCTGTTTTGCCTACCGATTCGGACCTCTCAAATGGTCACCGTACCCTCTCTCTCTAACATCTCTCCAGTCTGAGATCTCTATGTTAAACATGGATACTTTCATGGACGTGGAACGTCGTCAAAAGGTGCATTCAGTTTGAAAAACACAATAGGAGCGGGAATATCGAAAATTTTTCAGGTAATTGACTTTTATTTATGCATTGCGTTTTTTGTAACACTGGCCATAGAGATTCCCATCTCAAGGTGTCTACCCCATACTAACTTATATTTTGGTGACTCGAGTTTTGCCTTGATGGACACTGTCACTGTTTTCCTTTTTTGTTATATGGAGATGCTACTTGAGCATCATTTGTTAGGACTGAAGTATTAGCATTATATAGAAAAACTAGAAATATTTTGATTTGATATTCGAGTATATACTTCGTATTTCGAGTATGAGCATCTAGGCATATACTGAGTTTTATTTATATCAACCATTGTCAAAAAATTGATCGACCGTTGTTTCGACAGAACTTCCTTCGCACCAAAAGTATAATGAAACATATTCAGCATTTTCAAGTTGAGTCTTTTCTTCACACAATTTTGTGATGACCTAATCAACATTTACGATCAACACGTATACCACCTTGGATTGGTGCAGTGTAATACTAAAAATAACTGTATTGTATTCCCAAAATTATCTGCGAAAATCAAGTAAGCCGTTCCATCAATTTTTTGGGGGGAGTAAATAACTATTCTTAACAATTTACTATGCTTACAAAAATTTTAAAACGTCTGCAAGATCTCAAAGTACTTATTCATTTCTGCAACTTGAGTTATTCTCTAAAATAAATTGACTGATCCATACATTTTTTTTAGTCACTGTAAAAGCAAATCTAAAAAATATGAATATAATGATAAATTACGAAAATATACTGATGATATTTTGCACATTTTAGATAGGATTTATTCGGCAAAATCTTGAGATGACTTCATCAAGTTTTTGGGCTTGATAAACAGATATATTTTGATTAAAAACCTACCATGTCAAACAGTAACTTCAAAACGTCTGCAATATTTCAAAATTCAGTTTTGCAATTCTTGATTCAATCAATAAAATAAATTGACTCAGTGATTAATTTTTTTGAGACACCTCCTATAAGCAAAACTAAAAAATATGAATGGAATGATAAATCACTAGTATAGTCTCATCTTATTTTGGACATTTTAGATAGGATTCATTTGGCAAAATTTTGGGCTGACGCCATCAATTTTTTGGAGGGAATAAGTAAATATATTTTGAATAAAAATGTATTATGCTTATCATATGTTTAAAACATCTGCAAGATTTCAACGCATTCGGTTTTGCAGATTCAAAATTAAATTGTAGGTGAAACGAAGTTCACAGGGTCAGCTAGTATAATTATAAAAGTTCGTGATTTGATTATGTATGCAAATAACTTTTCTAAATAAGCAAGTGTTTCAAGTGTAGTAATGTGACAATTACCTTTAATAAAAATATGAAATTATTGTTCATCGAAATTGTTCCATTGATTCAGATGAAAACTTCAGAAACGAGCGGTATGTGTGTATCTATAGGAGACAAAACGCATAATAAGTAATAACTTGCATTTTACTTTGTCCTCTAAAGTGAAACGATCATCTAAAAAGTGGTTCCGCAACAGTTTTAACAAATGTGGCACATCCGCAGAAACAAATATTAATTTACTTTCATCACAGGGATGCGTGAAAGTGTTTTTAGATGTGTCAATTCCCAGGTCCTTCCATAGCCGCTGATTTGTGGAGCCCATATGACTGACCATAGCGACAACAATATAATTACTATTATGAAGTTGCAATTGCCTCTTCAAGTATGTTTTTTGTTACTGCTTGGTCAAGGTCATAATATACTGGTTGCTTCCAATTGGAGCATAATCCCCGAGCAGTCATCACCTGAACCGTGCGATTGGGACCAAATACCATTTCGTATTTTTTCTCTAAACAAATTTGACTTTTGATGAACATTTCATCAAAACTTATGACTGTTAGCCGTTCAATAACTGAAAGATCCTTTGCTTTTTGCTGCATTAACTTTGCAACATTTTTTAGGTGTCCTGGTCTAACGTCAAATGTAGCAGCCCAACGTCGCAGTGTGCTCAGGGATGGAAGAGGGAAATGACAATGGTATTTTAGGTATCGATAGGCTTTTGCACTAACACTTCTTAAAGAAATAGCTGAAGAAATATCTTCTGGTGACCATTTTACGTTACTCCCAGACATTAAACTCCTTATCTGGCCTTGAGTAAACAACACATTTACGGCTTCCACAATTTTCAAATTATCGTTTAATTGTTTTTGCAAAATGTTTTTTTCCTCAGTTACTTCTTTTAATTCTCTCTGAAGCTTTTTGACTTCATTGTCTCTCTTTGTAATGTCTTGCTTCCACTCAGATCTTTTCTCCTCCAACTGTAATCTGTATGGACACTCGGAGGCATAATGTTTTAGTGGGAAAACGCCCTTTTCTATAGCTTCCCTACTTTCAGCTTTTTTAATGTGGAATAAATTCTTTGCGATAAATTTCTTTTTTAGCGATGTGACACTCATTGTAGATCCACTTTTGTCTGGTGTGAAAGGACCTGCTGTAGATGAACGTCGAGCTATCGGCGACTGTTGAGCACAGGGTGATCGTCGCGTAATAGGTGAACGTTGTGCTGAAGACGAATTTTGAGAAGCTACAGAAACAGTTTTTGTCGGTACTGCTGACATCATGATGCGTTTTCTCGTGGGAGGACTATAATCCAAAAGTTTTTGTTGAAGGGATTTATAGTCGAATTTGTCCGAAAAATGTTGGGAACAAATACGAGCTGAAATCAATTGTTTTGATGTCTTGTATGTAACGTAATAACTGACAGGTTCTAATGACTGCTAGATTTACCATTTTTTGTGTTGAGAACGCGCGTACTGTTACAAAATTGCACCCATTTTTCACACAACTCGGGGTCTTTGGGAAATCTATAAAAATGTACATTTTTTGTTTTTCGTTGGTTATTTTTACAACCAGACACTGCACAAGTTGCCATCACAAATTAAATTATTGGTGTATCGTAAGGCTAATAAAAACTAACTAGTCAGCAATTTACGTTTCTTTATTTTGCCTACAAAACTCAAAACATTCTTAAGTGGTGGTTGGGTAGTTGCGTTGGTAAGCACTTGAAATGAATACTATTTTCTTCGAGCGAAATTCAAATGTGGTGCCTACTTTTGCAGCCTGGTGACGTCACACAAAATGCGTATAGTCATAGGCCATGGTCATACCTAATGTGTTTGTATCATGGTACTCGGTATTTCGGCAATCGGTTCTTGCTTCCTTAGTATTTGAATCCAGAATGCATACTCGAAATCACGAAATGATCAGTACCCTGTTAAAAATGCCCAATCAAATCCAATATAACCCAATCTAAGTTAGATTGGACCAGATTGTGTTTGATTGGGTTAATTGGGATTCAATTTGAACTTATATTGGATTTGATTGGGCAAACACAATTAAGGGCTTTGATTGGATTTGATTGGATTTGATTGTGAAAATTGGAAATAATTGTGTATTACCAATAAAAACATCTAAAAAGCAAAATGTGATGTAATAAATACAATTTTGGTTTGGAGTGTGCTAGAACGTGCAAATGGAACATTATATTTTATTTTATCACTAACATTGATGTCCCTAATATAAATAATTTTGTTGCTTTCGTTTAGATTCCCAAAATGGCTTTGAGTTATCATTTACAATAAAATGCCGTAAAAGATAATTATTTATTATGGAAATAAAACGCTTATTGAAACAATTATAACGAAAAATACAATTATTTGAAAAAAGCACCCCCTTCACGAATAGAATAAGTTGTTAACATTTTATTACCCGAGAACAAGGCTCGAAAGAATTCTGAATCGATCACAAGAATATACATCTATATGCATTTTCATAAAAATTGCATAAATATGTTCTGCGTATTAGCAGCCCCCATAGGGGGGTCGACGGGGAACGTAACCACCCACTTCGATGAGAAGTCGTAAAGAAACACATTACGCAACCATTTTGCATCCTACGGCAACGATACGGACCGCACGTGCCTCAATATTACGTTTAAACGACGTTCACAGTGTCGCCCAATCTCGCCCAATCTGCGAATAATTCGCACGCCAATCGCACAAAGCAGGTAAAAAATGACCTCCACAATGGCCACGTGGTACGCGAGCAAACATATTATCACTATTATAGCGAACAATAAAACTTTTTTAAAAAACAACCCTTTTACGCGGGTTTAAGTGTTAATATTATCCGAGAGAAGTATATTTTTGGGAAAAAATTCTGTGTTCGACACGATAACGTTTACAGCGATAAGCATACCAAAAAAAAATTGCATAATATTTTCTACAAATTACCAACACCAATAAGGGGGTCAACGGAGAACGTAACCACCCACTTCGATGAGAAGTCGTAAAGAAACACATTACGGAACCATTTTGCATCCTACGGCAACGATACGGACCGTAGGTGCCTCAATTTCACGTTTAAACGACGGTCACAGTGTCGCCCAATCTGGCCCAATCAATCCAATCCCAAATTGGGGGCGCCCAATCAAATCCAATCTGCGAATAATTCGCACGCCAATCGCACAAAGAAGGTAAAAAATGACCACCACAATGGTCACGTGGTACGCAAGCAAACATATTATCACTATTATAGCGAAAAATAAAACTTTTTTAAAAAACAACCCTTTTACGCGGGTTTAAGTGTTAATACTGTCCGACCAGAGTATATTTTTGGGAAAAAATTCTGTGTTCGACACGATAACGTTTACAGCGATAAGCATACCAAAAAAAATGCATAAAAATTGTCTGCGTATTAGCAACCCCCATAAGGGGGTCGACGGAGAACGTCACCACCCACTTCGATGAGAAGTCGTAAAGAAACACATTTCGCAACCATTTTGCATCCTACGGCAACGATACGGACCGTAGGTGCCTCAATATTACGTTTAAACGACGGTCACAGTGTCGCCCAATCTGGTCCAATCAAATCCAATCCCAAATTGGGGGCGCCCAATCAAATCCAATCTGCGAATAATTCGCACGCCAATCGCACAAAGAAGGTAAAAAATGACCACCACAATGGTCACGTGGTACGCAAGCAAACATATTATCACCATTATAGCGAACAATAAAACTTTTTTAAAAAACAACCCTTTTACGCGGGTTTAAGTGTTAATATTATCCGACAGGAGTATATTTTTGGGAAAAAATTCTGTGTTCGACACGATAGGATTTATGACGATAAGCATACTCAAAAAAAATGCATAAATATTTTCCTGCGTATTAGCAACCCCCATAAGGAGGTCGACGGAGAACGTAACCACCCACTTCGATGAGAAGTCATAAAGAAACACATTACGCAACCATTTTGCATCCTACGGCAACGATACGGACCGTAGGTGCCTCAATATTACGTTTAAACGACGTTCACAGTGTCGCCCAATCTCGCCCAATCTGCGAATAATTCGCACGCCAATCGCACAAAGCAGGTAAAAAATGACCTCCACAATGGTCACGTGGTACGCGAGCAAACATATTATCACTATTATAGCGAACTTAATGTATAATTAAGTAATAATAAATGAACAATAAAACTTTTTTAAAAAACAACCCTTTTACGCGGGTTTAAGTGTTAATATTATCCGAGAGAAGTATATTTTTGGGAAAAAATTCTGTGTTCGACACAATGAAATGTATAACTGTAATCATGATTAAAAAAGTTATATAAATATTTTGTATAAATTAGCAACCCCTGTAAGGGGGTTGACGCTGAACGTAACGACCCACTTTGATAAGAAAACGTAAAGGGACACATAACAATTATTTTTTATTCCACGGGAATGGTCCTGACCAGACTTGGCTCAATATTGCGTTTAAACGACATTCATAGTGTCGCCCAATCAAATACAATCTGCGAATAATCCGCACACCCATCTCACACAGAAGGTACAGAATAACCACCAGGGTGGTAATCTGGTACGCAAGCAAGCATATTATCACCATTTTAACGAATAATAAAACTTTTTTAGAAAACAACCCTGTTACGGGGTTTTAAGGGTTAATACTGCACCACCGGAGTATACTATTGGAAAAAAATTCTGTGTTCGACACAATAAAATGTATAACTATAAACATGAGAAGTTAGATATTTTGTATAAATTAGCAACCCCTGTATGAGGGTTGACGCAGAACGTACTGACTCACTTAATAATAATAATAATAATAATCGTAATTTATTATCCAACAGACAAAGATCTATGTGGATACTTGTACATAACTCCGGATAAGTATACACAAATACATATAACAAAAAAAGAAAGAAATCAATACAAAACAATTATATAACTAAACACTAATCACTAAAAAATTATATAACTCAACATGCAGGAATGTCAACTACAGTGGCGTAAGAACTGCATTTTTACACAGATAAGTGAAATGTTTGATATTCTGTAAAAAGATGTCAGCAAGAGGAGCAATATTATTGTAACTTCTGCACATATTATATAACGGCGAATAGAAATGTTGATTAGTTCTACACCAATCTATTGCAAATGTTCCAACATATCTACAATTTAAGCGCGGTATGTGAAAACTAAGATTACCAAGCAGATTTTGTGAAAAAATTTTCCCGTGAATCAGCTGATGTAAAAATATAATATTTGCCACCGTTCTTCTATCCTTCAACGAGTATAGATTAAATTCATTGAAAACAACTACGCTCGAACAAGTTCTTACGGGATATCTGCCAAATTTAACATAAAATAAATGTTTACAAAATTTTCTTTGAATACGCTCTATTGAAGATATATGAATTTTGTAGTATGGATCCCATACGACGGATGAATATTCCAGTTTAGAACGAATAAATGAATAATATAATACAAGCAAAGAATCAACATTGGTAAAACCGACAGTATTTCTTATAATAAACCCTAACATTCTATTAGCATGATCACAAATATGTTGAAAATGGGGTATAAATGACAATTTTGAATCAACCACAACACCAAGGTCTTTAATTTGGAATATTCTATCTATTTCTGTATCGTTTAATTCATACTTAAATTGTGTAGTATCAGGTGATCTAGAAAAGGTTATTACTTTACATTTGGCTACATTAATATTTTGTTTATTATTGTGACACCATATAATAAAATTATTAAGATCATTTTGAAGCGAGTAACAATCATCAAGCGTGGTAATAGTTTTAGCCACCTTCATGTCATCAGCGTACACAAAGATAGGACACTTAAATTCTAAAAGTGCGTCATTGAAGTATATAATAAATAAAATAGGTCCAAGGTTTGACCCTTGCGTTACACCACTCGTAGTTACATAAGTTTGAGAGCGAAAACCACGGTACTCAACATACTGAATGCGATTACACAAAAAGGATTGAAATAACTTTATTAAATTACTACACAGGCCAAATTTGCTCAACTTATCAAGCAAAATCGAGTGATTAACCACATCGAAAGCTTTAGATAAATCTGTGTAAATAACATCAACTTGTTTTTTACTTTCAAGAGAATCAGATATGTATTGGATGTATTCACACAGATTTGTTGAAGTTGACTTTCCTTTTATAAAGCCATGTTGACTGGGGCTAAGTTGATTAGATACATGATTATATAAATTATTAGCTACAATTCTTTCAAAGATCTTACTAAAATTTGAAACTATTGCAATGGGCCTATAATTCTCGATGTTATTACGTACGCCAGATTTGAAGACCGGGATAACTTTAGTAGACTTCCACTTATTAGGATATGCAGCCTCAGCAATAATTAAATTAAACAAGTAGCAAAGGGCTTCACATAAACAAGAAATACAGTCTTTTACAAGGAAAGCAGGCACATTGTCAGGACCCATAGTAAAATTAGAATTGACTTTTTTGACGGCATCCAAAATATCACAGGTATTTATTACGAAATTGTGTAAGACGCTCACTATATCACTTTCTCTATCACAGACTGGGAAACTATCACAGATATTATCACTACTAAAGACGTCACTGAAATGAATCGCGAAATGATTG